CCTGTCGCCGTGACGAGATATTCATTTATTGTCGACAGATCGAGATTGGCGGCGGCGCGCGTTGCGCGGCCAGAGGCGCCCTTTCACCCAGCCCCTCCCCCTCCCGGGGCCGTGACGCACCCTGCAAAAGGCTCACCCGCACCCCGCACGGTCCGAAGCGGAAACCTCCTGGCTACCCCGAAACACACCCGTCAACACGGGCGCGTTTCTCATTTAACACACCAAACCCATGACAGCACGCGACCTGGACTTTGCAAAGCCCCCCCTGACCTGAGCAGGTGGCGCTGCCCGTCGCTATGGCAGCTGTGGGTCCAGCTGGCCTGCAGCTGGCTGCAGCTGGTGCTGCTGAGGCCCCGTCGCGCCGCCGACGGGCGACCGAGAGGAAGAGAGTGGAATGGTTTTTGAAGGGCCAGCAGCCCCGCCCTGCCCTGTCTGCCCCGTCCGGGCTCGCCCGCGGTCCCCTCCTGCCCGGTGCCAGAGCAGTCCGCGAGGGCTTCGTCCGACCCGGCCCGGCCCCATTTGGCCGAGCAAGTGATAGCGCGCATGGGCGTCATGTGCGCCGGCCAGCAGAGCAGCTCCCGTCCCGTCCATCCGTCCGCGTTTTGGGGCGCGCCATACTTGGGTCACGCCGCTCCGGCTAGACGTTGATGAACACTTTCTAACTGCGGGTACGTGCCTCGCGCGCAGACTCAACGCCGCGCCGCCCTTGCAGCTTGCACAGCTTGCAGGGGGCTGCTCGTCGTGGACTCACCCGTCACGGACATCCCTTCCAGGGGTGGCGGCGCGGAGAGGCGCTCATGGGCCCCGCACTCGGTCGCGGTGCTCCTCCGGGCCGCTCGGGCCGGTGCCGGTGGCGGCGTCGCGGGGGCGCCGGGGCCGCGGGAGCCGGCCAGGGGTGTGAAGCCCTCCACTCGCACTCGCGGGGGGTCGGGGTCGGCTAGGCGCGGCCGGGGTGCGCCATGCGTACGGCGGCGGCGACGCGATCGGCACGGCGGGCGGCGGCGACGGCGGCGCAGCAGGTGATGAGGCGGGCTCGGGCTGCTCGGGCCGCGCCGGCGACCATTCTGAGAGACAACGCCACCGCGGAGCCGCGAGGAGCCGCGCTGCAGCTGACGGCCGCCCCGCCGCGCCCCGCCGCGCCCCGCCGCGCCCCACCAGCAGACGCCTGCCGCTGCCGCACAGCCTCCCGTCCAGTGTCCTACTCACCCACTACCGGGCCGGGATTTGAATGGTGGGGGATGGGGGAGCTGAGGCCCTGCCGCGCCAGTGCAATGCAACAGTCTCAACTCAAGTTCGTCACTCCAGATCCACCATCACTCCTGAAGCCTCGCTCGCACAGCACAGAGATGCGGCGGGGCGACAAGGTTTTCTTGTCAACCGGAAGACAATCTCCTTCTCGATCCGGAAGCGGGCCAAGCTAAGCAAGTCCAGAACAAGACCGCTCATTGCTGGACTGGGCCAGTTTAGTATGAACAAGGAGTCAGAAGCCCTCCTGCTTGCAGTTGATGTCGCCGCTCTTTGGCTCATGGCTAGGGTTCAAGAAAATGGGTGGGTGATGCAAATACATGAAACATTTCTTCCAGATTCGTTTTTTTTATTTTTGCTCTGTTGTACAACACATTTTCCCCATTCTACTGACTAGGAGATGGATACAAGCAAAATAGACTCTAACACTTCTTTAATATGTACTTTCAAGATAGTTAAGTGAGTTAATTATAATAACCATATCATCTTTTACAAATAAGGTTTAATGTTTTAACTTGCTCCCAGGGCCACCCACCAGATATTACAGTGAGACAAAATAAATTCTAACACATATAAATGTTCAACAGCAGAAACTACACATGAGATTAAAGCTGATAATAGCAATATATATCTCTCTTTTCTCTAAATTTTACCTAATATTGTAGCTATAGCACAGTGAACTCAATTCCTCCTTACCCATGCCCCTTACCTTACATTGAGGGCTTACCACCAACAAGAGAGGGAAAACTAGAATTAAAATAAACTGGTCCATAGTATGATTCACATTACTTTTCTATAACAGATGTTGTAATAACCTTGGTAAAAGGAACATTTCGATAATTTTACAACCAACAGTTCAAATAAAGAACAATAGAAACAAAATTTAAGACATGATTTGTACTAATTAAGTAGCTGCTGAGAATGAACTGCTTTCCTATAGGCTATGTATGTATAACTCTAGTCCTCACCAGAGCCAAATCAGAGCAAGGTGTAGGAGAAGTCTTAATGAATTTCATTGAAAACAAAAGGTTGTGCTTGTTCAGAGGAAAAAGTATGTGCTCTCACACAAAGCACCCTGTACAAGAATAAGAAATACAAGATTCACACAAATTTTGCACACATTGTAAAATTACAAATTTACTAATGAAATGTGCAGTCATACACTAAAATCAGAAATCTTGTACACTCTAAATTGGTAAAAATTCACAAATTTTGCCCATAGTGCATTACATTTTTAATCAAATTCGTTAACATGATCGATGATCGCTGTGAGATGGTCAACTAAGTCCTGCGTAGGAACTTTAGTTGAAATCAAGCCAAATCAATCAGACATCATCGGCTGACTATCTTTTTGGAGAAAAAAAATGATGGTATTTGAGACCGGAAAGAGGAAGAAATGTACAAATAGAAATTTAACATCTAAGAATAAATATACTGAGTAAAGTATGGAAAAAAAGTACAAAGCAAAGCACATAACTCTCAAAGATTCAATTTCGTCCCTGGTAAGTCACTCCTATAGTCAGTCATGTCACATCACAAGCAACAACCTATTAGGCCCCTCAATGAACCAGTGAGTCCCCACCTGTCAAGTTTCTTTTCTTTTTTCTTCCATAATGTGCATATAAGAAAAAAATGACAGTACTGATTATTTGAGCCTATGTAATCTGATACAGCTGCAAAAGCAACATTAAGATGTCTAATTTACTAAGAATTACAACTGCACACTGATTCATAAATGGCTGCTTTAGAAAAGCTGTCACACCAACCTAGATATTCTGCTATTTAAAAATTTGACAATGATTAGGCAATTTCATTAATGCCACACACTAAAACACATGAGCATAAAGATTCAATCCTTAGGGGGTGCTGGTGTAGAAAATGGACAATTGCTAATATCACATGTAACAAATATAAAATATTTAAAACTTCTTTATATTATAGGTAGTTATCTGATAAATCAATTATTTTGATAGAGTGATAAAGACCAACACTCTTTTAAACCACCAATATATGTTCCCACACAAGTGGCAGAAAGAGGACAAGCAAGTCAGGTGCCAAGTTTGAGCCAGAAGAAAAGGTTCATTTGTAAATGAGATGAGTGAATCTGGATTATGGGAACGGACGGAAAAGCTAGAAGAACTTCTTCAAGAGAATCAGTAATATGGCAATGTCAATTAATTAATTCATTTACAAGTGTACAGTTAACAAGGGAAAATACTGCCACGAGCATGAAAAATAGCTGTTAGACACATTTGACCGAAAGAGCAAAACATTCCTAGAACACTAAATTTGAGGGAAATATAACCAAGAAAAGCGATGTTTTTAACCAAAGCGACAATTTAAGTTAGTGCCAAGATTTCTGAGTCTGAAAATGTTTTCTGAAACTAAATGCAATTAGAAAAATTTAGACAAATATCTAAAATCCTTCCTCTTTATTTTGTATATAACTGCACTGCTTTCAAAAATCATAAAAGGCTATAAGAGTGATGCTCCTATTTTCCTTGAGCTCTTAAATGGCAGGAGGTAGGCTAATTAATTGTACAATAAATGGAGACAGATGAACTGAGCATATTGTACCAGTAAGTTTACAAGTATCTAGAACAGAAAATTCAATTTAGGGAAATGTATAGTTAGTTTCAGTGTTCATAAACATAAGTTATCAGATATGGAGCAGTCTTGCAAAGAAACTAATTTTCAAAATGCAGGGAAAGAAAATTGGGCTAACATACTAACTCACAAGGCAGTACAATGATATGCATAATCCCAAGATAAAGAAGGAACACAGAAAAGCTTAATAAAATTATACCACTTTACAGCAAAAACAAAGAACAGCCTGAGGAGAATCATGACTGGTGGAAACACACAACTAGGATATTTTAAAGTGTTAAAAAAGAAGAAAAGTTGGTAAAGGTTACTAAATTGCTTGGATAAATGTAAATCAGCAAAGATTAAAAAAGACCTAGATCGATCTGCCCAAACAGAATCATGAGAGATTTTGAAATCATCCTACAACTACTACAAGTTAAAACAAAAACAAAAAGAAACTAGGAAGGCAAACACGTAGTATGCAAATTTCAGGTTTTGGGGTACTGTTATAACTTTTGTTTTGATTGATGTTTTGCCATAAAAGGTGGAAAAAGAGCAATAAGTTGACCAATCAACAAAAGAAATACATACGACTGATCTGATAATTGATACACTTGTGACATAGCATAACATTTCTTTTCTCGTGCTTCTTAGATGATGTTTCTGTTGATTAGTCTACATTCTAGTGTTGAATAGTATTCAATACTTCATGGAAAGTTATCACAAATTGTATACCAAAATATTGGCACTGAAAGCCATGGGAGTGAGTCTATCGGAACAGTCCTTGCAAATGGCTATGATTGGCTAGAGAGGTGGACAACAATTCCAAACACATGGTTAGATAAATAGAGAAAAATTCTAAAGTCAAACAGTTAATAATTACTAATTTTAAAAAAAACTACACAATTAGCAGCCTACAGTGCTCCACATAACACAGTCTCAATAAAATCAAGTGCAAACTTTAAGATACAAAGTCATGCATTATCAGGTTACATTTTTCAGGGGTATTTCAACATTTTGTATATTTGACATTTACTGTAGAGTTTGAAGGGCAAGATAAAACAACTAACAAGCCTCTATACGTAACGACTGCTCAGCATGTTCAGATGAAAGGAAAGGTAATACATATATGTTTTAAAGGATAACAGGAATGGATCAGTCTATAGATTAAAACTGCATACTGCCACAACCCGGATTTTGAAAAAAAGGGAAATATAAATCACCATTGGCACAGTTTTAAAAAATCCTTGTCACTTAGCCCAAGTATGTCCAGAGGAGTTGGAAATTTTAAAACAGCAAATGACAACTGCTTTGTGTGTGCATGTGCAGTTTGATCTTTGAAACTGTGATTCATTGCAAAATTAGTGGGTTTTATGCTACATCAAAATATTAAATAAGACAAAACTCAAACAAAACAGAAGAATCAATTTCAAAAGTCAAATGTATTGTTAAAAGATGTTCACACAATGGTAACTGATCAAAGTACAACACTAAAACTGCAATACTACCTCCAAACCAAACACAACAATGTCCTCTTTCAAAGAAAATGAAAACACAAGAATTCAATTGTCATGGTATTTTAAGACAGTAGATCCCCCCTTTTTTACCTCTTTTATCCAGGAATGCTCTACTACTCTTTGGCTTATATCCTTCCAAAACATACTTCACCTTGTAACTAGCAAAATTATAATGTGGTCCCTCCAAAAGTTTGAGAAATACTTTTAATCAGACACAATACCATTTAATGGCACTTGACCATGAAAACTGATTTTTAACAAAGAGCCTTAAGCTAGGAGAGGAGAGGAGATCCAATGTTGGATAGAAGGGAAAAGTACTATAATATGAAATATTGATTGACAATGTGCCAAATACTTCTGATGTAGAAAAAGCAAAGTCACCATCATAAACAGGTTGGGCAAGTAAAAGTAAAACTGTGCTCAATTGTACAAGTAAGCATTTCTTTTCACAATGCTGTATAGAGCAGTCCACAAATGCCAATCAAGTCAAAATAAATTTACAAAGGTTTCTTTTACCCCTAAAAATCTATCACATCTACCTGTCAATGTGCAACTCATTTTACCACTTCTTCCAAGTGAATAAAATTTAAAATACTACTTTATATTCAATAAAAAGCTACTGGTAAGTTGTATATTTATGCAAATTCACAACAAATTGATTCATTTTAATAGCTGTAAAAAACGATACCCTCCCCATAGTAAAACAATTAATCAAACATAAACCATAGGGTACAAATGTATTCCCAGTCACATGCATTGTACTTTCAAATGTCATTTTCAGGTTTGACAATTCCAAAGCGTCTTTACAGATCTGATTATCTACAGTTAACCACAGTCCACTACCAAAATGAGACTTGCAGGATTAAATGTTATGATAATCACCCAAAAATACAGACAATAACAGCTCTTAAGCAAATAGGTTGTGATTATTAATAAGAAAAACCATAAGAGGAACCTTTGACTTAATAATATTTCTTGTATGTACAAACATCAGTTCGCAGTTTAAAATGGCTTTATACAGAAACCACTATCCTGATATAACTACACTACGGAGACCTTTGCAACTGCAACCAAAGCTATAACTAATCATAGAATCCAAAAATATTGTTCATTTCATATATCCCTAGTAATAACTCTAATTATAGTACAGAATTTATTTATCACGAGCAAAACTCCAATAGTCAGTTGAAATTCTATTATTGAGCTCCCCTGTTACAAGGCGAGAGGGCATTCATTATAAAAATGAAGAACCGGTCCATGACTTTGATGCTATGGTTTTCAAGTAAAATATGTAAGCCCAAGATTTAACTTACAAATTTGACCTCAAATTATTAAATTATTGGACACCTTCAACAGCCAAAAAATTAGGCTAATAAATCCAAACAAAATGTACCCAGAAAGCTAAATAAAAACCAAAATTTCAAAAAGTCAGTTCGCCAGAATGTGTGAGTTCACACAACCACATTTAAGTGTACCTTGTTTTCATATCCACAGAAAACATTTCACCGATTCAGATCATATATCTTGCAGGAATCAGATTTGATATGTAGGTTATTCACACACATGAGCAACTATCTGACTAATCAAGTTTTAAAAGTTAATTTTTAAGAGCTAAAACTTTTGAACAGAAAGTTTGGTGAATTATGAGAGCAAATTGATATCAAAACTGAGCCCTACTTTCAACAATCTTGGACCGGAGACGCCTTCCCTGTTTCTGTCTTTAAGGAGGGCTTGTTGCTTCACAAACAATGCAACTGTTGTTTGTGAAGCTGGGATTGGAAATAATAGACCTTTAAGGACCAATTTAACAAGTTAAGGACCACAAAGATGTCAGTAAAAATACTACCCATACTGACAAATCTTTTGATTCTTGAAATCTGACTCCTCAATGGTGTGGAGCAAGAAAAACGTAATGATGAGATAACTCTTGGTAATAATATTGCTAGCAGTTAATTAGAATTATATGATGCAGCGCTAATAAAAAGAAGTCCATAGCTATATACTGTATATCATTAATCATGACTTGAAAATGCAATTGAAAGTGTAGTACAGTACTATTGTAAGTTATTACTTAGTTTTACACATCCGAACATTACCAAAGCAAGACCTGACTGGTCAACACTACATTTTCACAGCAAATAACCATCATAAGTAATAGAAGTTCTGAATGATTTAATTATCATAGCACACTGATCACATGCAAATTAATTAATAACATGATTCTCTGCAACACTAACGAATATAATTCAGACATTTTACTGTCACTGCTCAGCCTACCAGTTAAAAAGTACTAAGCACATGATCTGATGATAAAAGACAAAAGTCAAAGTGACCGCAAAGATGAAATACATACCAAAGGGAATGAAAAACAACAACAACAAAAACAATGAAGTAATGATACTGAAATAAAGCAGGGGTGAAGCTATGAAACCAGGTTTCTGGAGAAACAACAGCAAACATATTCGTGATATATAAGCAAAAGATCAGCTAATGGACACTCACTAATTCTCTCCTGCATTCCTGAAACAATATACATTTCACACTTGATGTGCTCAGCCCCTGAGATAATAAATGTAAACGATAAGTGATGATGAATGACTAATTCACATATACTATTGTTAAGAACAGAATAAATATGTCTATTTACAAGAAAAGGCAAGCAAAAGCAAACATTGATGCTCCAAACATTGAAGGAATGGTTATAAAAGACACACCAACACATAACATTGGGAACAAATTCCCATCTTGATAACACTTACAAAAAAGGGTTAATTACAATTCTTTCCAAATGCAAAACAAACAAAGCAAATGAAAACAAGCAATGTATACTTCAATACATTTAGTGTCAATTTTTTAAATTGAAAGAAAATAAATAGTATATAACAAATAGAGGATAAAACTTGCATTTATCAACCGTGTGCGCGATCTAAAAGACGCCTGGCGGAACCAGAAAATAACCATTTTCCTTCGCAAAAGAGTGATTCTCCTACATCCAAAACTGTTACAATTAAAGTATTGTTTGCTTGAACATCTGTATCACAGTATCTAAAACACATCACAAACTAATTTGATCCTAAACATAATTCAATTTGACAAAACCCTACAGCACATTATCACCAACTGATGCTGCTTTCACGATAAAGAAATCTTCTTTCAACAAACTTTGCAATTAATTTACAATAGAAACCGTGTGACAAACCACTGATTTGAGGATCACACTTGAAACAGAACATAATTGAAAAGCAAAAGCTAAGTACTAAGCAGACAAAATTTCATAATATGCAAGAGAGTAAAGAATGTCTGTGCATAGGCCAGCTGCATTAGTCATTTATTCTTGCCAATGGTGGTCCTGTAAAAACAGAAAAATACAGAAAAAATAAAGAAAAAAGGGAATGTAAGAGAAATACATGAGAAAAATAGTTTTGACAAGGATCTGTCAACAAACCTATTCTGAAAACCAGAGACCAGGCTGATATTGTGTCTTGGCAGGACTTAAAGGAGCAAACCCATATGACGCAGCAACTTGAGTGTGTGATGAAAACACCGCAGGTTGCATGTGTGCCGGAAGTGGATGCGCAGCATGTGATGCAATCATAGGCCGAGCACTGGCATGATGAGCAGGTGGGGGAAGAGCCCTTCTGTAACACAAAGAGGAATCATTAGATTAAAAACTAGAATATAACAATAGGATAGGCAAAGGCAAATGATGTCTGATGACACATAATTGAAGCAAGCTAGGTGAACATATTAGAAGCGCAGATTTTATTTTTAAATTTTAAGGGCGAGAGTGCTTGAGCTGTTAGGAAATAAATGAGGTTTTACACAAGGCAATGAAAAGCCTACAGCAGAGGTGCATCCAATTCAGGTAAAATACATTAATATACCATGATCCAACCACAATTACTAAATACAAGTTAATAAACTCACTCGAAGTTACCCAGTGCCAGTCTATATCAAAGATCCATCTTACTTCAAGACAAAGCAAAATACATACATACATACACACAATAACGGCTATGAACAATACAGAGTAATATTCATAGTAATTTAGATGTAGATAAGGCATAATTATGAAAGATCTCCTCTAGCATGCTCTACGACCAACTGATCCATAGTCTATAAAAATAAAATTCCAATGAGGGCTAATCGTTACATGTTAGTGCGCCCAAACAGCAAATATTTACAGCATCTTGGCATCATGTATAAGAGATGAAAAAGCCAAAGCATGTACAGTAGCCATAAAATCAGACACAGCGATGACCAAAGCATGAGCATCATCTTTGCAAGTTGAACTCGTACCCGGTGGTGAAAGGTGGGACCTGGTGCCCCGTGGGCAGGTAGGCGGGCTGAGTCGTGGTGACATACACTGTTGGGCGACGATACAGATCAGACTGGTGGTATAAGGGCTGGCCCAGAGGCTGTCCCAACGGCTGGCCCGCTGCGGCAGCTAGTTGATGCGGATGTTGTGGAGAGAGTCGTGTATGCGCAGCCGCTGCCGCTGCCGCATGCACTGCTGCAGCGGCGGCAGCGTGACCCAAAGGCTGCGGAGACAAGTGAGCCGAACTGTGCCGGCTGCAAAAACCAATCACGAGCATCAGAATTTCGTCCCTTCTTCCTATCAGCGTGCCAAGACTTTCCTCAACAAGATCCCGACGCGAACTTCGCTGAGACGAATCAGACATCCGAAGGTGCTCTGTCAGCATTGACGCGACTTGCTCAACTTTGAATATGCACATAGCTCTGTCTAACGTACAGTACATATACTCGAATTCACTCAACCCAAATTTACAGCATTATTTCAATTTCATAAAAAAAATAAAAAATGACTTTGACATTCTAAAACACAAAATCAACGCCACAATTCTAAACAGAATATTCTTCTCTTACCTGTAACCCTGATGCAGGGCAGCAGTCGTCCAAGACTTCGCCAAAAGATGCTGATCTCTACCAACAGTCACAGGCTCTCCTCGGTTGTTGTGGGCAACAGGTGGCTGTGCATACTCTTTGGGATAATCTCTGTGCGTGACAACAGGAACCGAGACCGCGGGTACAGTGGGTTCCCGCTTGTGACGGCTATGATATGTCATGCTATGAGCAGTGGGGGGAGCTAAGAAATCCCTTCCCGAGTGTGCAGCAGGTGGCGCCCAAGACATACGTTTGTCAGCACTATAAAATTAAACATACTTAAAATTAGGCAAGGAAATTTTCAGCATGATTGTAACAAGTTCAAATGAGAGCTGTAAAGTACCTGGCATAAACGATATGTTGGTCAGGAATGGGCGCTGCCGAAGATGTAGTGACATAATGGTAGCCAGAGCCTGAACTGACAGCTACTGCCATGTCTTTGCAGTTGCCTGCATGACAACCCGTATGCAAAACTTGCTGCTGTTGTGATTGCTGTTGCTGCTGTGCCTGTTGTTGAGCCTGCTGCTGTTGTTGATGTGCCTGCTGCTGAGCTTGCTGTGCTTGCTGCTGAGCCTGGTGTTGAGCCTGCTGATGGGCCTGCTGCTGTTGAGCCTGTTGCTGGGCCTGTTGTTGAGCTTGTTGCTGCGCCTGTTGTTGGGCTACCTGCTGTTGGTGGGCCTGAGTTTGTTGGCTTGGCTGATGACTGTGTGCTTGATGTTGATTCTGGGGTAATAGGTAATCCCTATTGAAAAAAAAAGAAGAAAAAGACAGAAAAAGAGAATTAACAAATTAGATCGACGGATGAATGTCAGAAATTGTAAAACTCATTCTAGTTTTGCTTAAAAAGATACCCCTAGGTTGTATGCCAAATGAAAAATAACATCAGTGATAGGGTAGAACATGATTAGACTGCCCACAAGGTAGCACTTTCATTGCTTGAAATGCTGTACTATTTAGGCAACAGGCGTGTAATGAAACTACTCTACGGATAAACTCTTGAAAAAGAGAAAAGTACTGACAAGATTCTATACAACACAATACTAAAGATGTGGGCAGTACCTATGAGTTATTGTGCTGTGGCCGGTACTGGAACTAGTCATTGTAGTGTATTCCAAAGCCTGATTCATAACTTGATCAGGGGGTATACTGGCAATTACATTTGTGCCTTGACCCATGCCAACCCCTATTAATCCACAGTCTGATTGTACTTTGGAGAGCAGTCGCTTCTTCTGAGAATGTGAAGGGGTGCTCGAAACATAGCTTGAGCTGCAGAGACAGTACACAAACATGCCTCTTACTTAACAAGATCCATACTACGAATATTACAATATTAAAACACTAGAAGGGTCCATTTGCTTAATTCTGGCGCACCGGTGAGCAAAGACTTTAGAATTGGGGCATTGTGTAAATCATCAAGTGTGTTCCGGTGCGTCATTAGGGTTGACCTGCCGATGTAGTCTCCACCCGTCCTTCCAACCTACATGGTGCTCACCAAGGCATTGCTCACGCTTGACTCGAGGTGACTACTCCAGCTTTTGAGTGCTATCCCTCCGACTATGGTGTTCATGAGCCTAGCAAAGCCGACCGGAAAGAACAGGCTCACCGGTGCGCCAGAATTGAGCGAATGGACCCTAATTTGAGTTGAAATATTAATGAATAAAACAAAATGTTTTCTTTAGAAGAAAATAATCTTTCAGATGGCAGTGAAGGATAGATGAATGTGAATAAATGCATCTGTGCATAGAATCTTTCATGAAATACAGCAACAGGAATGTTTGACTAAAAGGAACTATCATGAGGTCCAAAGTAGATTTCTTACCTGTGGTTTGGCTCATGTTTCACTTGATGAATAACATGCGTCTGATTGTGGAGCGGCTGCTGTTGAGAATGATGGTAGGAGGAATGCTGTTGAGGCTGAACAGAAAGATGCTGCTGCTGCTGCTGTTGTTGTTGCTGCTGCTGCTGCTGTTGTTGTTGCTGTTGCTGCTGGTGGTGCTGCTGTTGCTGCTGTTGCTGCTGTTGCTGCTGTTGCTGCTGTTGCTGCTGTTGCTGCTGGTGCTGCTGCTGCTGGTGCTGCTGCTTCTGCTGAAGTTGATACTGTTGCTGTAGTAGCACAGAGTGCTTTGCAGGGCTGCGGTGATCTTCACCATCACTATCAGCTACAGTGACGCATGATATGACATTGGCACAATGTCGATTGCTTCCACTGGTTGCAACACCACCTGTCGTCGCAGATGTAATGGTGGCAGGAACAGTTGCAGCAGCAATTGGATTAGATGCAACAGCTCGGTTTGCAGTAGCAACATTTGTTGCCTGAGTTGCAGATGCAGTGCTAAAAAATGGATACAAACAAAAGTAATTTTCCTACTTCCAGATATCTCATGGAACATGTAAAAGGACATATCATGGCATAGTGACCCACCATTTAGAAGGAGATTCATCTTCACTGTCAGATATGGTGATAACAGACACAGCTGGTGAAGGGGTATCCACGATTGTAATTGTGTGTTGACGACCAGAGAGTCCCTAAAATAAGTTCATAATACATAAGTTAAGGGTACAAAGAAAGGGAAAGTAACCTATGGTTTACATACATAAAACAAAGAATGTAAATAGGAGAGTAATTGAGGAATAATCATTAACAAAATACTTATTGTTGTTGTAACTTACTTGTCTCCTATGAGCGTGCCGGGTAGGGTTCCCAACTTGTTGTTGCCACTGATTATTTTCATTAGGTGAATGTCGTCTTGGTAATCTACCATTAGCACAATCTGGAAAAGGAATTTATTAGCAACAAATTCTTATTTTAAAATCACATTAACAGTGCAACAACTAAGCACCTGAAGGTGGTGTGCTTTCCTTGACCCTCTTTTTCACAGGACTAAGCTGAGTCTGCTCCTTTTTGCCATCAGTAGCACGATGTTCAGACCTATGCTCCTGTCTGTGCTGAGCACTTGCATGGGATCCATTTGGAACAGTAAGCAAATGACTGTGATGATGGTTATGATGTTGAGGAGCTGTCTGCTGTTGGCTAGATTTTGATACACCTCTCTTACTGCCACTCCCACTAGTTGATGAAGTGTTACTTGCAACATTTGACCAACTACCATCCACTAAACTAGAATCACCAGCTGTATAAACTTCAGCAGCTACATCAACAGGGAAAACTGAACGCTGCTCCTATAACAGAAAAGTGAAATTATCAATCTGCAATAAAAGGTTAACCATCACCTTGGCAAGTGCTTTAAACCTACTTGCAAAAGAGCACCGGAATCAACTATCAGGGATCTACTCCAATCTCCTGCGTCAGATAAAAGTGGCTGCTGTATTGAACCCTGATGACCTGATAACTGCTGCCATGACGGAACAAGAGCCATTTGTCGACTAGCAGGCCATGATGTCTGGACTGCATTTGTTAATAACATTTGTCTGCCATTTGGTTCCATAACAGATACAGGGACAGGGACATATTGTTGCTGACTTCCAACCTATGATATAGATAGATAAGTAAGGGCATTTCAGAGCACAAGAGGAATAAAAACAATTTACAGAAAAGTTAAAATTAGATAATGTACCTGTTGGGATATGATAGGTGGTTGAATCTGCAATTGAGGTGGAGGTTGTTGAGTGACAACTGTCAGGTGTTTAGTGGGAGAAGCCATCCCTTGATAACCAGGTGGGCACAGAATAGAGTTGATAGCCAGTTGATGACTAGGATACTGTCGCCTCCCATTGTACAACTGGTACTGAAAATGATTGCAGAATTAGTGAAGTAGATAACTTAATGGGTAGCTTATCAATAAAGTTTCAGGATTCAATCATACTTGATTAGTAAGCTGATTTGTCAACTGATTATTGTTAAATGTCAATGTGACATTGCCATTTGAATTGGGTACAAAGCTTGCCACAAGGGATGGGGCAGCAGCTGCTGGTTGATGATGACCTCCAGAACTTGTTGAATTGTAGGCATTTCTACGGCACACTTCCATCATTTGCACACTGGCTTTCACATTGTTACAATGGGCATAATCAACTAAATGGGCCAGGTTGACAAAGGAATGATTAAGAGCTTCTCCTGGAGTGATCCGCCGTTCCTAAAAAAGTTACAACAGATATTAATGCTTGAGACAGAACATTGTAATGAAAAAAGATATGAAGAAATGAGTATCATTTCTCATGAAAAGAAAAGAAGGGATATTACCACCTGGTCCATGGTAAGCATTCGCTTGAGTAGGTCAATAAATTCACGTCGATCAGCCTTTTCAGCTAACAGCTCACCACCTTCCAGATCAGTGGGAACATTAACTTGCCCAATGTCATCCAGACAGTTAAATATGTACTTTCGTGCTTCTTTTGACTTAATCCCTGTTTCCACTTCATGTTCCTCTGGAGTCTAGCAAAGATAAACCACACAAAATTATTATTTGAAAAGTGAATGAACAAAAAAGGATAATGGCGACCGAAATATGATGTAATGTGTGACATACCTTCAGTCTCCAAAATGGGTAAGTGCTATCTGTATCCCGGTAGAAAAACTTCTGAGTTTTAGAGGCATTATTTAACATGTGTTCTGTGGGTAGACCTTGGGTTTGACTGATATATCTTATTTGGTCATATTCTGAAGATCCAGGGTATAGGGGCCAACCAAGAAATAGTTCTGCTACCACACATCCCAATGACCACATGTCAATAGCTTCACAAAACGGCAAACCTAAAATTTCCAGATAGTTAAACTAATGCTCCAAACAGAGGTACATAAATGAGTCACTATTGAAGCTTCTACACACCTAATATAATTTCCGGGGCTCGATAGTACCGACTCTGCAGGTATGTGTTGCAGACAGCTTTGCTTACATGAGAGGCACTACCAAAATCAATAACTTTAACTCTATAAGGTTGTCGTTGGGGGTCAACCAGCATAATGTTCTCAGGTTTGAGATCTGCATGAATTAATCCCAGTTGCTGAAAGGTGAAAAATGAGATAAGTTTAAGTAGCAAATACATAAAAACACAGATAGTAGGGCATAATAATAGTGTACCTTGAGTTTAAGAAGGGCTGTGAGGACTTGTTGTAATATAGGACGTATAAATTTGAGAGGCAAAGGAGAGAACTTGTTCTGCTTAAGAAAGTCATACAAGTTCTGCTCCAGCATCTCAAACACGAGACAAGTGTGATTTTTGTGCTGGAAGCCTTCCAGGGCACGAACGAAATTGAATTCATCTGCATTTTCCTGAGCAAGTCTGGACAGAATGCCAACCTAGATAAAAAGAAAATACAAAATGCCAGTATGAGCTTTGGTTGCAGTAACAAACATTAGAGGAAAAAACTAGAAGTAAAATGCATTATTCAGACCTCAATTTGTCCTTGACGAGCATATGATGGATGGTTTTTGAGGATTTTGATAGCAACAATTTCATTAGTGCCCTTCTTCCAGCATTTCACCACCTGAATATTAAAATTCATTAGAACCATGGACATGGCACAACAAAATTGAAAAGTGTCATAATCTGGAACCAACCTGTCCAAAGGTCCCCCGTCCCAAGAACTCCAACACCTCATACTGCGTGGTGTTGGAGTAAAGCACTTCATGTTGGACCAGCTGGTAGTCGCCATCTGCAGAGGAGGAGCCTTGAGGGGCCGCTGCGGCTGCCGCACCCCCTCCTCCTCCTTTGCTGTGCGCCGTCGTTGTTGGAGCTGCTGTCGCCGTGGCCACACTATCACCATTACCCTCGCGCTCGCACGACTTGCGCTGGAAAACAAGTATCACATAGATTATATGACAGGTAAATTGGGCTTTCCCTCATCAAAGCTGCTTTTGGATCATTCGTAGATTTCCGTTATAGCAACATGTTGAGATTTGTCAAATCCACTGTACCAACTTGTGCCCTGCACAGCAAGGCAAGTACAGTGAAACGCGATATTAGCGTTTCCCGCTTTTAATGTAGCATTTTCCACGAGCCTAATTCCAATATACCAAACAAAATCAACCCACTTATTGCATTTGCCCGCTTATGGCTGCTCCAAAGTTGGGCGCTACATCCATTCTCACCAGGTTCAAATGTAGATTAAATGATGAATTAATACAAAAACAGTTTTGACGAAAGTTTTAAACTTTGACATGGTACAAATATATATATGCATAAAATACAGAGTAAAGCTGAAAGTGGTTTATATCAATTAATGACAAAACTACACTACAAAATTAAGTTAAAGCTTTAACATTGAAATCACCATTAACAAAAGAAAAATTGATTTTTGGGTTTCATGATGTCATGTATTATGACAGCTAATTCTAAAACTTGCTGTTACCAACATTTAAGAAATTAAACTTTTTCTTAGGTGAAAGCAGGGTGACAATATGGAATGAATATTTATGAATAGTATGTGAAGGGCAAAGTTTCAACAGCCCTAGGAATTTGGGCTATGGTATGCACTAACTTTACCAAAAATACAAGCAAGATTATGTACTTCATCAAGAAAGATTGTATCGAGTTTTGTCTTAAATTAAGAAAGAATGAACATTCTCACTCTACTTGGTTGGAACTAAAAGAGCACATTCTACAGAGCATAAATATCAAGGGGATAAAACATTTAAGTATCATTATCGTCAGCTAAGACATTTGATGGTCAGAGCCTAGATATGATTAATAGTTATTTAAAGAGAGCATTCAGAATGCCACAAACCCTGGAGTTGTTCTGCTGCCCTACGCACTGCTTTGTGCGCACCTTTTGTCCGCATCGCTGATAGGTGTCAAGCAGTTTTATAGTAGAGGCACGCACAAAGGTCTGCGGGATGGTGTTGGGGCTTCGCTGTACAGCATGCTTAGCAGCACCAGTAGGGACAGAATGATGCTGCAATTGATGCTCACTGGTAGTTGAAAGTTTCGTCACCGGATGTAGGCCAGATGCCTCGTTCAAATTGTAGAGCCCATCAGGCAGCACAGCCAAATCCGCCTGGGGGCACAGCATGAGCCGTGTCAAATGAATCATAATGTACTTCTTTAAAATTTGAAATTCTTGGGGAAAACTATTTAATGACTTTACTATCTGATTGATTTGGATCTGAAGAATATTATGGAAATGAGACGAAAAAGGACATAAAATGATGCGGCCATTTCAGAAAAGATGTGAATTGTAGCTTGTAGAATTGTTGGTGAGTTTCTTCTGAAATAATCCAACTTGAGAGGACAGATTGATCTCTTTCCAAAATGTAGAGCCAAATGTGTACTACTAATATTTAAGAGCTGATTGAGATAAAAATGCCCAGAAGTTTCAGTATTGAACAAAATGGAGCACAATGAAAATTAATGTTTGGGCTTGAATATGAGAGTGAGTGAATAATATTCTACTAAATTAGTAATCTGTCATAGTCTTCCCAAAAGTGTCTGTGACACTGATTTCAGTTCACACGTTGGCACTCCCACGTTGAATTGATGAGTCTCCTTCCAAACTTGTATCTTAACATAGTTACAACTAATTCTAATTCATAGAAATAGAAAGGACGATGAAAGTAAATACTGTTCTTTCTCAAAATTTTGTGTTAAATCAAGAGAATCTTTAGAAAAGTATACTGAAGAACTTTATCAAGTAGTTATTTTGGGATTTAACTTGATCCCAAATGTAGTTAGTTAAATATAGTGTTGGAGTAATTATTACTAAGATGTTTCTTAATTTTAATTTTAGGTTATTACAACTTACCTGCCCGACTTGAGGGCTGGGGTCCAACTTCCGCTTCTTGTGAACGTGGGACACGCCAGTGTTCGCTCCAGGGCAATGGATGAACATGTCACAGATTCCCTTAATTTTTGAGAGAAAAAGAGAAGAAAAGACTGTAAGTTAAATGTTGTTAATAAACTAAGATAACAATGCAAAACTTTGTACACAATGAAGAGCTTAGCAAAATAAATTATGCAAATTAAGGAAAATATGATGTTTTACACAAAGCTATGTTCTCTAGTTGAGACAGAGGGAGAAGATATATATTTTAATTGAAGAACACAGAAGCATATTAGTTTCCATGCACCAAGCTTGCCCTATAGCTAAAACCCTAACATTGTTTTTCTTTTTCTCTTTCAATTTACTTGGTTTACTTAGTTTACAGAAAATATCTATACACACATAACACCTCTGGAAATTTTTGAATGGCTGGCATTTACATAAAAATAAAATAAAGCAAAGTTTGTGCCCAAAAAATATAAGCTGATAGCATCATAATAATCTGATACTTGGATGACAAGGAGTGTTTAAACACCTCAAACTTCATAAAACCAATGGTTAATTTAAATTCAAGCTCTCAAAACCACAATTCATCAGTAATAGCAAACAAATATTTCAGAAACAAGACCATAGGATGTCATTGATATGATAAATCTATCTTTTCCCCCAAGCATACGAAAAGCTGTTACTTAACAAGAGTACTTTAATTTTCGTATTTCTTTTCACACTTGTTAAGTATCATTGCCTCTGACATTTCTTCTGACCGTAGTAACATGAAATTTGGGTTTCATTATAAGCAAGGTATAGGTGACATTCACCACAGACCCAGAATTATGGCCCCTCCACCGACCACAAAAGCTCCCCAACTCCTCATTGAAGTGAGCGCATCTATCAGCTTCCAAAAGTTTGACAAATAATTGATTGATTGAAGTTAATGTCTGCATGCACATATGCCATCCCTTTCATGAAGTTGTGAATGTAACACTAAAGGGCTAAAATTTATCCCTGTTACATACCCAGTCTAGATTCCCTTATCAGCATGACGCTTGATGATAGAATCTTGCCTGAGCACACAAAAATATTTCAAAACCTCCTTAATGTTGTATACACATTACACATCTATACTCATCACTCTGAAATATTGATAACAAGAAAACAACACTCTCCAAAGTTTAATGATATTTTTAAAGCGCAAGAATCTGTGGATTTGTGCACATTACACTATAACTGTAGCAAAAATGCTGAAGAAATTAAATTAAACCTCAGTTTATGAAACACAAAAATGTCCTACTCTTGAAAGAATGTTTACAAAAACAGAATTACCAAAAGTCTGGATAAGAGTACAGGACTAAAGCAAACTACTCCTGCACCCTTTACTGACAGAAAAAGTAGTTATCAAGTCAACGATTTGGGTCGTCATAACCCAACTAACGGAGAGAGGCCTCTAGCAGCAGCGCTGTAGAAGGGCCAACTTGTTGACATCCCAACCAAGCTGTCCTAATCTCTATTTTCGAATCAGATATTTTAGAGTTGAACCATTTTTGCTAATATAATTCCCCGATAAGTGCTATTACTACCGTAGGGCTCCCGCAAAGGGTAACATAGCTTCAAGGAAAGTGGAACAACACAGGCAATGGTAAACAAGCGGCCTGTGCTGCAACCGCAACCTCAGTTTACATAGCAACTAGAGGCAAAATTGTATCACCTTTTCGAAAAAAGAAAGAAATCGGGGAAGTGAAGTGGAAAGCACAAAAATCTCCCTCCCATTTTTTAAGATTGAAATAGTACGGGGGAAAGGTGTGGGAGAACATATGGAATGAAAACAATACGGGATGCGACAAGGTTGTGGGCAACCTAGACCTCATTATCGAGCCCCTCTCGAGGGCAAAATTGACAATAAGTGTGTGGGGCGTAATTTAGATATGTCAAGTGCTACAACAGGAAGTGTCTCACCTCGCTCTTTTCTTGATTGTCCAAAAGGAATCAACTTTCATAGTGACATGCGGGACAAAGAGGCCTTCAAATACCAGCCATCTTGGAACCCGTGACGGGCGAAACCCACTTTGTCGCCCGCTTCTTAAACTTTTTCAGCCTAAATGATGCCACATGTGTTTAATTTTCAACGAGTCGCAAACTTTCGCCATTAATCTTTGTAGTTCTGTCTTTCAAGTATCCTCAAACGCCCATGGATCACTGTATTTTTCACTTCATTCTCTGTTACGAACACGTCTCCGACATCGAGATCCTTCACAAGTGCACTGTTGTGAGGTTGCGTGGTGCGGTGGAGTGTCGGAAGCGACACAACAGTGGGGACGAGCCATGGTGCACGTATCGCTAAAACGCATTAATTTCTCATTAGTAAGACGCAAAATAAATTCACAAATTGCTTTTCTTGAAAATTACCCACAATCGTTACTTTTATTTTTTTTTAATCGCGTTAGTTTGACGATGTGACTCTCATACGGCAGCCGGGTGGACCCGTTTCCGAATCCACTCCCTCACCCTACAATATCGCACGCCATTTTTCGTCAAAGTGTTTTTAGGCACTAGCCACTGACTATTTTAGCACAACATCCACGATGACAATTGCGTACGACTCTTGAGAGCTCTGAAGTATCATCCAAATTCTTTCACGTTTCTCGAAGTCTATATTGGAGGAGATATCAAGGTTTATCAGAGATCCATATTCGGAAAATACGTCGTAGTCTGGTGCCCCCCCCCCCCCCCCAATCCCTTCTCCCCCTTTTCTCACTCGCCAACTATGGGAAAGGGGGGGGGGGGGGTATTGAAGTGGGGAAGGCCCTCCCCCTCCCACCGACTTCCCTGTCCGGTTTCCAGATTCTCTTGATTTGCACGAACGTAGTTTGATGTGCCCTTCCCTTCCTAATAATGGTTTGGCGGCCGCCATCTCTACAATACCAATAGTTATTTCTCGGCATTTTGAAAGCCCCTATTCCCTTTTCTTATTCTGTGAGGCATCAAAGTTGCCGAAAACAGGCGTTAGGCGCCTCTCTCGGTCGTTCTAAATAAACGGGCTCTTAAGCGGTTGTCACGAGATTTGCTGGCAAGTCTTAAAAATACACTTTCCGCACCATTCCTTCACAAATCGTTGAACGATGAGTGCGGCCAGGATTCGTGAAACGATGGTTATAGGTTGCGTTCCCAACTATGCTGAGTGTCTCTGTATTATCGCATCGCACCCCAAAACGGAATCATTTTCAGAAACGTTCAAATATGTCAAAACTTACTGTTGCCGTTTTCCCTATAGACACAGACCAAACCTTTTTTTTCTCACCTTGACATGCCTGGCGACGCCATAACGTCCATGGGGACAAAAACTTTTTCCTATACTGTCAAATATTCGTTCTGGCCGTCCACTTTCTCATAGCGAGGCGAGGTGGTTCCAAGAGATAAGGAGGAGCCCCCATATACTTAAGCCCATCACCCCCACCAACTTATCGCTCGAGGTTCACTTCCTTCGAGCCCAGCACTGCTCGGTGCGGGTCGGAGCGGCACTGTTTGTCCCCCTATGCATTTCTGTTCTCCGTCTGACTGACTAAACCGGTGAGCCTGAACAACTACTTTGAAAATATTGGATTTGAGGTTTCTCTATACGTTAATTACACGGAATAAGTGGATATATCGAATTCTCTCGCGAGAGACACGAGCCGTTCTTTAAAACTCCGTTGATTTACACTATAGTTTTCTAGGTATTATCTTGCCCTCTACGCTTAAGAAAAAATGACGGCTCGAGAGGCAACTTGAATGCTTGTGCCCCACCCGTTCCCGCTTCACGAGCACAAAGTCGTAAAACAATAATTTCGTTGGACAGAGGACAGCTCGATTCTATAGGGACTGGGGGGTACAGAAGCATAGAGGTAGGGGTGGAAGAGGTGTGATGTGCCCTTTGGGAGCACTTGTTGGAAGGTAAGGAAGGTTAGATGGTAAGAGGGATTCCAGTGCAAAGACACGGCGAATAATTAAAAACAACCAACTGTCAAATAAAACATTGTATCTAACTTCAGTGACCTAAGTACACCATATGCATCGAAACGATATCGTCAGAAAAATTTCTTACTGCGGGGTGTCTCCATGCGCTCCCCCAGGTCCAGCAATAATGACAATTACTCTGTACCACCATCCCTTGTCGCCGACCCTCGCGCCAGTGCTGCTCACCGTCAGGGCGCTGGGTATCGACGCTTTGGTGACCCAGAAGGAGGTGGACCTGTGTGCTGTAAGTATTTGACCCGATATTGCAGTCGATAGTTGGTGACGTTTCGCAGCCTGCAAAACGAAAACATGAGATAAGTTCTTCACCTTGATTTTTGTTATACAGGGGACCTCTATTCACGACTTCCCCTCCATAGACGACGGCGGGTTTTGTCTTTCGGACAGGTGAGCAGAAAAGCGTGATAGATTGGACCTGTCATGAGCCCGGAAAGGGCTGATGGGTTGATCCTCGCATTTTGAACGTGTTCCAGTCACGCGATCGTGGCCTACCTTGCCAATGCGTACCAAGACGGCGACTTCTTGTACCCAAAGGACCCCAAAAAGAGAGCCAAAGTGGACCGATGGCTGCACTTCTCCAGCTCCATTTTGTATAGCAGACTCGTCAATATGACGGTGAGGGTAAACACTACCGAGAGTCCAGCACGGCAACTCGATTGCAGCATTTTTGATCCCCTGATTAACATATCTCCAGTACCCCTTCCACCGGCTTGGTACTTCCCCGATTCGGGGAACAAACTGTCCTGTTCTTTCTCATATGAGAAAAATGCCTCATGAGGTCTAAATTTTTCCGTGGTCTTTGAAAATATATAAGTGGATTTGTCAGATCATCAAGAAATTTCTTCTGTCATCCGTTGATCATTCGCCGCTAGGAACCTTCCCAGCTCAGCCTCAACAAGCTCTCCCGGACGAACACAAAAAACTCACGAGGACGTCATATACTGGACTTCAAAAGAACTAATTTGTCCACGAGAGAGGTCAAAATTTCGTTCAAAACTCTGCCATATTGATGTTTTATTTACTAAAATGACCTATTCGTGACATTTTCGTGTTCCCTGTGTCATAGCGCCTGACATGTAGGCAACATCTCACCTGCAAGTGCTTGCGTGCCCTGCGGGGTGGCCTACCCCGCTGCTCAAAGGCGCCTAGCGCCTAGCTCCCGTAATTTGTTGAATGAATCTGTGAAAAAACGAACAGACTTTCTGGGTGATCCCTTAGGTTTGACCACCGCGCCGTACGGTTAGCAAACCGCCGCACACACCGAAGCGAAGATTGCCTAAATGTCTCCTTTATCGTGCTCATCATATGTCACACAGGAGCCGCTCCTCAACAAGCGTTCCAAGGTAGTGTCGGAGGAGATGTCGGAACGCGCCGAAGCCGCATTCAAAATGATCCAGGATGCGCTCGGCCCCGGCCCCTGGCTCTGCGGGGACGACATGACCCTCGCTGATCTGTGCTGCGTCTCGCTTGTGGCTGCCATCGAAGTGAGACGGCGTGATGTTTACATATTTCAATAATTTCAGTTTATTCAAAAATTGGCAGTTGGAACTAACAATAAAAATTGGTGTGTTTTTATTAGGTTTTCATCGGGGATTCGAATCATTATCCAAAAATGTCGTCGTGGGTCGAACACTGTAAGAAACATGTCCCCGGCTACATGGAGGTCGTTGAGGCCGCCCGCCAGAGATACGTTACCATCATCACCTCGAGGATGAATTCGTGACTGTTACAAAGACATGTGGGCTCGAAATATGTCCTTTTCTGTGATGACAAATAAAGTGTCTACTCTTGACCGATTACACATATATTACATTAGTTCTTGAATCTCCCGCCCTCCTGCCGATGCTCGTCGGGTGACGTCACATGTGCTCCTTCGATTTCGACTGGAGGGAGAAGTGTTTTCAAGTGTTTGTGTTTATTCTAGCGAGGTAAATTTCAACATTCTTCGGGGCAATTTTACTGTTATTACAATTGTTTGACGTATCGCGAAAAGCCCTACACGAAGCGAAAAATTTAGTATGTGACGCAGGTATTCTATCATTTCAATTTCAATGTCGTTGTGTGCGATTCTTTGACTTATCCAGTAAGAAGACTGTAACCATGTTGTGGTTTGTGTGAGTGAGAAAAGTAACACTACTACTTGGAAAATGAAGGATAAATATTTGTTGTTTATCGCCCCAAAAAATACGTGCTTTAATTTACGAGGCATTGCGTAGTTTGATCAATTCATATTTCAATTTTGTCATAACTTCCAGCTTCCCACCGCGACCAAAATACTTCGTGCAGGTTATGTTACAAAAGTATCTCTTGATTGGTTCTGATTATTTTGTCTGTGCCCCCTCAATACCCAGGTGTCTTTACTAAGAGTATTTTTTTTCTGTTTACAACGTCACATTTAACTCAAATTTAAAAAAATGGTATTTCAAGTTTATTTGTTTCCAGGAATTATTCAGAAAGGTCCTATCTTTTGCTCATATTTGCACTTTTTCTACAGGACAATTTAATAAAAAAAAGTCCAGGGTGAATTTTTGAGTTATAACCAAATGATAACAAATGTGAAACTTTACATCTTCTGTGCTTAAGGTACGCATAATAATTGGGTAGAACAGTTTATTTTTTACCTCATTTTACTTTTTGTGTTTTCCTGCCTGGTTGCTAAAAATCTGATTTAAATATGTTTTCAGAGTAATTTTGATTAATTGATTAAAATGAATCAACAGGGTCCCCCTCCATGGGGTTACCCGCAAAATGTTGCGTATAATAGTAATCGCACTGAAGGTTACAGAGGTAATTTCACTCATAGAAGAGGCAGAAAGTCCAGGTGGGGAAGCCCAAATAAAAATGACAAGAAAGAAGGTGGCTCTTACCCTCAAAGAGATACAAATTGTAGTAGTACCCAACAATATGCTGGCCGAGGAAGAAGTCCATGGCAAAACGGGAGGAGTTTGCTTGGTAGACCACCTCGGGGTAGTTTACTGGGTAGACCACCTCGGGGTAGTGTTCTGGGTAGACCACCTCATAGTGGGTTGCCAGGTCGATCACCCATTAACTGTCCCACCAGTAGACCATTCCATAGCCAGTGCGAAGAAGAGGAGGATGAAAATGAGATTAGCAATTGGCTGAAATCAAATAAAGATAGGCAACAACCAGCTATTTTGGAAGATGTCAGTAAAGATCCCTTGCCTGGCTCTGAAGAGGAGCGAGAGTGTAGTTTGAAAAAGGCCACAGAAGCCCTAAAACAATCACTCAAAAACAAAATGACCGTGAACTTAAATAAATTATTAACAGAGGAAGAAGAAAAGCAAAGCAAAGCAAACCACGCTCTTCCTCCTAAAGTATTAACTCAGCCACAAAACTTGTTCCAACTTAACTTGGATTCAAACGATTTGCGCGCCATTGGTTGTGCCAACACTGTCAATAATGACAATAATTCAGATGATGAAATAATAGAACTTACTCTACCGCCATTACCGAAACCTGACATAATTCAAATAGATGACAGTCCAAGTAAGTCTTCTGACTTTACTGAAATTTCACCAAGACAAAAGAAAACCCCAAGGAAAAATTTAGAAGTGCTAAAACAAAACAAAAGCAGTGAAGATCGTCAAAATAAAATTATAAGTGACCTACAAAAAATAACTAAAAACAAACTGAGGGATATCATAAATAACCCCAGGTCGGGGAAATTTGACCATGCTATGAGACAATTAATGAAGGCCCAAAGAGCTCAAATTTCCCAAAAATCACGTGAAGTTGCAGAAAAAAATTTGACGAATTTGAAACCCACAGATGAAGTAGTAGATGATAGAACTGTGTTGGCAGATTTGTCCATTGATTGGGCAAATCTGCCAACAGAGTTAATAAATACGCTGGGTGATTTATTTAACTTTGAAGAGGCCGCCAGCGCCAGCTTGTCACCAGAGCCAGCTCGCTGTCAGGGTAAGTGGCCAAATGATGCAGGTACATTTGCTAGAAGCAGACGTTTGCCAATTGCAGTAACACATATATTTTGTTGCCTCCTTATATATCAATCTCTGTTGCTCAGCTTGATTTTAATTTCTAATTTCTTAAAGTTACAGATATAGATATCCATGAGGACTTTGGAATTAAATTGGAAACCATTTCCACTGATATCAAGGAGGATCAAGGATATCAGGAAGAGATCTCTCACCCCACAGTAAGAGTGAGGGGATTTGCACGGGAATTTACAAGTGAGTGTGAAAGTGGCAAAGCTAAAAACCATCTAACTTTTACTACAAAAGAAGAACATTCTATTGATCCTAATAAAAGCCCCAATAAAAATTTTGAGAAGAAAGTGAAGTCTGAAGTACCAAAGGAAAAGGAAAGCACAAAAGAAAACCAATTGGCGTGTCCTGAAAGAAACTTAAATGAGAAAGAGAAGCCGCAGCCAAAGGAAAGTGAGGAACGTGTCTCACCTACTCTCTCAAATTGTGAAAGTGGCAAAAGCACAAAAGAAAAACAATTTATTGATTTGGCTGAAAAAAGCTTTAATGAGAAAAAGAAGCCGCAGCCAAAGGAAATTGAGGAACGTGTCTCACCTACTCTCTCCAATTGTGAAAGTGGCAAAAGCACAAAAGAAAAACAATTTATTGATTTGGCTGAAAAAAGCTTTAATGAGAAAAAGAAGCCGCAGCCAAAGGAAAATGAGGAACGTGTCTCACCTACTCTCTCCAATTGTGAAAGTGGCAAAAGCACAAAAGAAAAACAATCTGTTGATTTGGCTGCTTGTGTGGACAAAAGAGTAGATGAGACAGCAAAGTCTATACTGCCACAGGAGAAAGAAAATAGCGAAAATGCCTCACCCGTTCCCTCAGAACTCACTCAAAGTGCTACAGTCAACATCCAAACTCCCATAATCATGCCCATTTTTTGCACGCCTATCTTGGCTGGTAGCAACAAAAAAAATACAAATAACTTGACAACCTCCCAGATCCAACAAAGAATAAATGAAATAGACGAAAAGCTTAAATTCCTTGTAATGGAGAGATATACTTTAAGTGAGACGTTAGCGCAAAGATTATCTGAAACTTCCAACATGGAGATGGATGTTGATGACGACGAATTACCTCTTAACAAAAGGAGGCTTTCCACTGTACCCAACAATCAAAATCGTAAGAAGAGGAGGATAGAGGTAGAACTCGTTGATTTAGATAATAATAAAACCAAAAGCAATCAGAATACTAAAAGTAGCTCACAGGAAGGAAAGAGTAAGAAAAAGAAAGAGGGAGTTGTCTCCTTGAAGAATAAATCATCTAGCAGCACTCCAAAAAGTAATGGAAAAGTTGTGGAAGAGTTGAAGAGTAAAAGTATAGAAAAACCTTCTTCTCCAAGAGATAATGTATCCCAAAATGGGATACAAAAAGAGATTATCCCAATTGCTAATAATGGAACTGTGGCAAAGGAATGTATACCCAGAATGGATGGTTATATTTTAGATTTAAAGGTAAATTTATTTTGTGCATGATTTTTTGTTTTTGCTTTTTTACGTGTGGAATTTAAAGCATACACTAACTTTTTTTGTTGCATCCTCTCAGGTGTACAAAGAATCATACTTAGCTTGTTCCCAAAACGGCATTACCTACCAAAATAAAATTGAAAAAAATCAACTTTTTGCTTCATATGGAGATAAAAGTGTACCTGGGTTAAATTGTATTGATGTTATGGAAGATACCCTCTTTACTGGTGGTGAAGATGGTTTTTTAAAATTGTATAATATTGTGGTAAGCTAGTAAAGATGATACAGTTGAATCTAGTTAAATTAAGTTCTAGATTTAGAGATTAACTGTTTCTTATCAAGACGATTCCAATTTCCGCTTTCCCCTGAGCCATGTCGAGAACTCTGTATTATACTAAAATCTGGTGGTAGTGAATGCTGAAATTTGCTTCAACCAGATTTGACTGTATCTCCTGCACTTTTGTTTCAGTAAGTTAATTTTATTCAGACCATGATGCTTACTCTTGTGTGTTTTCTTTGTTTTCTTCCAGCAATTAGGTGCAAATGAAACAAAATTTAATATCAAACCCCAAAAAATTTTAAATTTGTCTAAAGCCATATCTGTAATAACCTGTGAATGGGGCACAGCTTATGTTGGGACTAAAGCAGGATCTATCTGCCCCTTTATTTTAAAAGTAAGTACAGTTTCATTGTAAAGTACTTTTTTTTTCTCCACTTCTTTCATTTTTGTAATCATTTGCAGACAGAAAAACTGGCTGAGACCATAACCTTAGAAGGGTCTGCGGTGTTAGCAATTAAATCGCACAAGGAAGGCCCTCGAAAAGTTATAATAATTTCATGTAGAAATCAGCCGATCACAATACGGGACGCTGAGTCTGGTACATTTGAGATTTATCATATCTTAATAATCTTATTTCTAAACATTAGTGTTGAAATATATACCTATTTTTTCTTTTATGTTTTAGGGCTTTTGCTCAGACAGTTTGGAACGATGCAGCAAACTGTTTACTGCTTAAATTTACATGATAACCTGCTCTTTTGTGGAACAGATGGTAACCATATTTTAGTTTATGACTTCCAGGTAAACATTTTCTTCTGAATATGATTAAGTATATTTTTTTTCTGTATAATGTTTTGGTGTTTTAGTATCATGAGCTTTTAAATATTGTTTTTTTTTTATTTTTTTTTACAGGGAGGCATATTAAAATATAAACTGTCTACGGGAAAAGGAATTGTAAATATCGTCCAGGTAGACGAGGTTCTTTTTGCTGGTTCCTATGATGGGAACATTTATGTCTTTGATGTTCAGGTTTGTTCATCTCCACAGTTCAAATATTCTTTTAGCCAAAAAAGCTCTGCAATATTAAAGTGAAGTGTATTGATCTATTATTTTAGGAACAAAAAGGTTTAATCACTCTACGAGGACCTGGAAAAATGATTTTATGTATTTCTGTTATAAATAAAAAAGTATGTATGATGCTGGAAAAATAATTTGTAAAAGAGAAGTGGGAAATTTAACTGATTCTGTGTGTTTTTTCCAGTTATACTGTTCGTCAAAAAACTGTTCTACTCTTATGGTGACAGATTTATCTGTGAAAATTAAGTCAGCTATGGATAAAAACAGAAAATTGAAGGGAATACTGTAACCCCAAGACATCTTAGCAGGCCAGTGAAATTAATCACATGCAATTATTGCAAGAAACAGATGTGGTTAACATCTCAGACAAAATTATTGATCTGACCAGTTTTCATTTTTTAATGAAAGGTATAATTTTGAAGTTTTAATCAAATACTACTGTAAATTCTTTTCTTTTGTGTAGATCCAGTAAGCATGCTAATCTAAAACATCTACTGTGATAAGTCTTGTATTTGTTTATAGTCACATTTTTCTTCAATGACTTTTCCTCACTCTCCTTAACAAGTTGCCATTTTTTGCTGTATGAGACCTTTTAAGTGATATTACATAATAATGTTCTGTACTCCAACCTCTGCTCCTTTTTTTATCTAAAAAATAAACATCTGGACCTTATGATTGAATTGAAAGCCCTTCTCCCCAAATGCCAGCCGATGGTGATTCCGATTCGCCTTGCATGGGAAGGGCCTTGGGTGGGTTTCTTATTTCAGGAACGAATTCTGGCCAGTGGCAGTTGACTGCCCGTGCAAGGGAGGAACAGGGGACCTGAGGTCTAGGAGCGCGTGGGTATGCGCGACACAAGAGAAAAGTCTCCAGCATCCAGCGGCAAAGGGGGTGGGGGTGGGATCCATTTGGGACTCCGCCATACTTGGACCAACAGGTTCGAGGGGAGACCGAATGGATGATGCCGCTGCCACTCTGCGACCCTATCCTATGCCAATGCCATGAGAACACAAACTCAACACGGCGTGGAGGTCACGCGCTGCTTGCACCGCGTCGGCACCGCGGCTCTGGACTACGCGCCGGACCGTGACAGCTCATGGGGGCCCGCGGCCTCCCGGCCCCGCACACGGCGCAGGGAAGGCCCAGCTTCAGCGGCCGGCGGCGTGGCGGAGCAGAGGAGGTGATTGCAGCTGACCGCTTCAGACTCAGCAAGCGTGTTTTCGCATGCCGGCCGTTAGCGGAACTCGCCTCGTTCCTCGAAGAAGTAATGACAGCTCGCACAAATTCCAGTTAGCTCCCGCGGAGCTATTGCTCGTTTTCAAACCCTGATGGCTAGGCTTCGCTCTCCGGCGCGTAACCTCGACCTCCTCGACCCGACGACGCGCCGCCGACGCAGACCCCACCCCACCCCACGCGGGCGCGCGGTGCGGTCGGGGTCGGGACCCGCTTTTGGGGGAGTATACGGCGGCGGCTTTGAACCGGGCCCTCCGGTCCTCGCACAAAGGCGGCGGCTTTGAACCGGGCGCCGGCCGGTCGGGTCGAGGCCGCGCTAGCTCCGTGCAGCCCCCGCTCTCAACATGCCGCATCATTCATTCCAGAGGTATATCATGTATATATAGAGCCTTCGCAGGTGTGTTCGACACCCTGCCATGATGAAGGCCTTGACCCGGTCGCGAGCCACCTCGCGCGGGCCGGGTCTTCCGATCGCTGCTGCGGTGCGGATGTGCACTACGTACGTGTTCTCCTGGTCCTGGTGCTTGTCCAAGAGCGGGGCGCGCGCGTCGGACTCCCTCGGCCTGATGGCCTTCCCCTGGGCAGGGTCAGCCTAAAACTGTGTCTGCAGCCTATTAATAGACGGGAGAAAAAATCGGGGAAGGGAGGGGGGGGGGGTAGTCGAAGTCGACGTGCTCTTGGTGCCGTCATGAGAGAAGGGCGCCGCCCCGTCGGCCAAGTGGGGTGGAAAATCTTGATGGCGAAACGGCCTAGAAGCTCTAGCTGTCGAGCTGCTGTCCAGTCGGGGTCGTCTGGCCCCACTCGCTCCGCAACGATGCGCACTGTACCATGTCCAAAACCAGGTCTGACAGCCACCCCCCCCCCCCCTCCTCTCCGCTCCTCGACGTGTGCAGCAGGCTCGACTGCCCTGCTCTGACGCCGCCAGCAAGACGCGACTGGGCGACTCGTGATTTGGTGAAATCACGCCAAAAAGTGATACATGTTTGCGCGAGGGCCACGGACTTTGTGGGGGAGGGAGGGGGGTGGGGGCTGGTGACGACGCGTTACTGATCCGAGGCCGCCGCGACGGGATGGGCCCGTCCACGCCTTATCAGCTACTGCCAGGGCAAGGAACTCGTGTGTGTTGTCGCGTGCTACCTGCTCGCCGAGGCACTCACCTGTCGGGAGGGGAGGGGGGGGGGCAACCCCGCGGTGGGGGTTAGCTGCGCCTTAAGGGTGCCCGGGGCTGTCCGCGCACGGTGGCGGCCTTGGCTTGGAGAGACCGTTCTAAACGAGTCGAGGGCGAGGCCGGCTGGCCGCCCCCACGCCGGGGCCCACCCCGAGCCCACGAGGACGGGCACGCCATCGCATCGCTCTCTGCCGCCGATCCAGGAAGTGGCGTATCGACCCCCGCCTGGGCAGCGGCTACTACTAGTGCAGCGCCGCGGCTGCGGCCCAGGATGGGGGGCGGGGCGTGGCGGGGGGCAGGCAGGGTCTGTCCGCGCCGCTCCCGACGACGACGCCGGCCGACACCTCGCCGCGCGTCACTCTCCCCGGCGCAGGTGAGCAGGACAGACCAGTGGACGCCGCCGTGGACGCCGCTACAGCACCCAGACCACGCGCCACCAGAGAGAGCCGCGCGTCCCGTCGTCACGCGCACGACCTTGGGGGACGCGGTGCGGGACAAGGAGCGCGCGTCACTACTTGAAGCATGCCGGCGCGCTGCTGCACCGGCCCCTGTCGCCAGGTACGGTCGTCTTCTGCTCGCTCCGGCCCGCTCTGGAGCAGTGCAGGGCCGCCCGAAGGGTAGGCAACCTCCTGGCCGCGCGACTCCCGCGCGCGACGGGACTGCCTACGCCCACGGCGCTCTCCAGCCGCCCGTCGCGCGTCGCACGCGTCCCTGTTTGTGACCGCAAGCGCAAGTCCGGCGGCCGGGGTCAGCGCGATCCTTACCACCGCGGTGCTGCACCCGACTAATTCCTGGTCGTGTGGAACTCCAAATTACGGCAATCGGGCAGTCTAGTGAGTCTGAATCCAAGCGGCCGCACGTCCACCTGCCGGCTGTCGGTGCAGCTGTGCTCTACGCCGTCCCGCCGGCCCGGCCAGCGGCTGAGAGTGCACCGGGTTGCATTCCCCGCTATCTCACGTCACTCCCTCTCGGCTACCGGCTGCGCTTGCGGTGGCATCGTCCGAGCAGCTCGGTGATATCTTGCCCACCCGCCCCAGCGATTGATGATTTGTTATTCTTTGCAGAACAAGAAGTAAGTTGGGGGCTCTTTCCACCACTCTAGTCGGCGCACTGTTCGCTCATTCCAAGAACTGGCGTGACAATTTATGGTGACGAGAAATATTGCTTACGTTGGTTTATATTCCCTTTTTCGAGATGACATACATTGTGTTATCTTGTTGCACCTTCCCCCTGGTCTAGAGCAAACGTGGTAGCTCCTTATCGTTTCAGCTCGACAAACAGCATTTTGTTCGTCCAAACGGTGATCTACGCTACAGAGGGTTTGGTTTCCCGTCAAATCAACGTCACGTGAGTATTGGTCGGCCTGTCGAACTGACGAAAGCCTGAAGCGCTTTTTCTCGTCTGGAAGAGGATGGCAACATTGTACCTCTTGGCGGCTTATTCGATATGACAGATGGGCGAGATAACGAAGGCGTAAGAATGCTGCTGACGATCTCCATTCCAACCGAGTGTATCAGTACCCGAGCCTGTCCCAGCCCTGCGTTGTTATCCCCGCCTTGACCTCAATAGGTTCGTGAACGGCCTAGATGTGCCATCGGACTGGGACATGTGGGTGGCATTGTACTTATTACTATATTGCCATGCTGTTTGTCGACGCACTGTCCTCGCCTGACAAGAGGATTCCCTCGTTATCGATGACGCCTCTCTCCGCAACCGCCTTTTATCTTCGTCACCTTCGCTTCTCATTGTCTGATGGATGGTTGTTTCCGCATACCCAGTGGAAATAGTGGAAATTAAAAGCCATCCGTGTCGCTGATGAAACGTGAGGACTCCTGACGTCCATTACTTCGTTCAGTGACTGGCGGGCTGTGCGGGTTCACGCTCGCCGCTCGCGATGGACGTTCCCGCTCCTCAACTGGTCGCATACGCATATCCGCTTCCTCTTAAGTGTTGTATTTTTCTTGTTGTTGATGTTGGTGTTGTTGTTTTCGACTGCTTTCGACTGACTGGCTGGCGTGCTGTCTGCTGCTGATGTGTAATTTGTAGATGCCGCCGCGTATGTTCATCGCCCGGCGTTATTTATTATCATAGAAAATTTAAAGGTAATTCAGGTATTTTTCTTTGGAGGTGGAACTGTATTGCAATCATGTCTCGCTCGGTGTGTCGCAGTCGGCAATCGCACTTTCAATAAGGTTATGAGGACACAATATAGGCCTTTCATAAGTCGAGGAATAAAGCTGAGCAATCATATTTTAACTTTCTATTATGAATGTAAAATGTTACAGGGTTCGCATGCTCCCTTTTCAAAACTATTTTCCCTGTAGATTGTATGAATCATCTAAACTAAGCACGTCACCTTCTCAAAGAATACACTGCACATTTGTTTACTTTCTGTTGTATTGTGGAATAAGTAGAAGTTCTTTTCATTACATCTTTCAGATGCCTGGCAGATGATAACGAAGACTTGACTCTTTTCGTCATTATCGTCCGTCTGTTTCAAGTCACACAAATATGGCTGGACTACTCAACCAAGTATTTGTGCGGAGAGCCACCATAGCATTATGCGTTTTAGGGATTTTCTTCTGTACTGTTTCCTGTGAAAAGGAACCAATTGATGAATCTGAAACACCCCGCACCGACTCTGCACTACCTTCAGTGGTAAGTTTTATGTTTAAGACTTTACCTGTTCCAAATTGCTTGATTTATAAGTAAATTTTGTTTCTACTTCACAGCGAGGACATGTGGTGGAACAATCAGACAATGACAAAGGCGAAGAGAAAACGAGTGCTCCCCCTGGAGGGAATCTTGGATTTGTGCATGCATTTGTTGCTGCACTCTCTGTGATAGTTGTGTCTGAGCTTGGAGACAAAACGTTTTTTATTGCTGCAATAATGGCCATGCGTCACCCACGTCTTACTGTTTTCTTGGGTGCTGCGTCTGCTCTCGCATTTATGACAGTTTTGTCAGGTAAGTTTATCATTCTGGTATATTTTGTGTGATGATTGGAATTTGAATTTTCTTGAGATAATGTCATAAATTCTTTTCTTATCTTGTTTTTAGCTGTCTTTGGCTTAGCTGCAACTATCATACCTAGAGCGTATACATACTATATATCAACAGCTCTGTTTGCCATTTTTGGTCTGAAAATGTTACGAGATGGTTACTATATGTCGCCCAATGAAGGTCAGGAGGAACTGGAAGAAGTTCAGTCAGATTTACGAAAACGTGAAGATGAGGTAACAGTTTTGAGTAAATCAAAATGCTTGTTTGAATGTGGAAGGCTTTGCTTAGCTTTTGCAGAGTGTGCCCTTAACATGGCGTATTTCTTGGTTTTAACAATTATTTTGGTGGTGTGGTATTTATATATTATTGTTAAACTTCTGTAGGTTTTCTTTTGAATGGTTTTCTGATGTGCTTTGTCTTGTAAGATTTCATTGTGGACCTCCATTCTTCAGATTGCCCAAGAAAAGTCGCGAATTTCTTGGGCATTTGTGAATGTGGTATCCCAATGTATCTTCCCCTTCTTTCTGCTGTGCACGGGTAGTGGTACATTTTCATTAAAGTATAATAGGTATATCATTTATTAGTAAGTAGTTATGTTGATGCTGTCTCACTGAGAAGACAATCAGTCTCAGGTTGTATATTTTATTCTAATCAATTTCATGCAGTCTTGTGAAAACAAAATATAAGTTGTAATATTCAAGTTTCCACTAAAATTTCCACACCTCTCTTTCTTAACAAAGAGTTTGAGTTTATTTGGATACATTTATCAAGAAGGCAAATTCAATTTTAATTTGTTCTCAGAGATGTCAGCTCAAATGCATTCTGTCTGAAAATATTGATTTAGAATGTTTTTCTTTTACTACTATTGTTTAATGAACAATTCAGGGTAAGAAAGTTGAAGATCAACAACGAGAGGTGGAAGCTGACTTGGTGGTGAGTTGCATTGTTGCGTAGGAGATAAATTACTTGCTTTAGATTACCTTTTTTGCATAAAGTATGCAGGAATTTTGAGACTGAGTTTTTGGCTTGTTTATATTTGAAACTTAGGTACAGCCAGAACCAACAGAACAAAACTCTGAGGGATCTATTAAAAACAATAAAGAGGTATTGTATTTTTTTTTTGTGGATTAATAGAAATATATTCCTAGATTTCAAGCTGTAAATCTGTGAGATTGCTAATGCTGAGTATTTGTTAGGTGGTGATAGATCCTACTCTTCTAAATGTTGAGGTAAGTATTTTGCATGGTGTCTAGGGCTGCCAGAACTTTTCAAAGCTGCTTAAGAAAGTTGAATGCTGTCCTTATCTTCTCAGTCACTTTTTAAAAATTGCACTCTGTGCAACGTGCTGAAATGCACAAAGGTCCCTATGATTGTAGTCCACGCGTTTGATAAATATCTGTTAACCCGCTAATTCCTAACATGCTGTAGATTTCATAGTTTCAATTAAACATGCATTTCAAATGCTTACATGATATGTAGTGTTGCTGGCAGCTCTGTCAATTTAGCCATTAAATTACGGTAATTTTATCCACTGTAGGTGTTTCTCATAGATTTGAAAATTTAAGCTACTCACTTCAGATATTTTTTTTGTTTTTTTAGAGAATTTTATCAGTTTTCTTTTGTTTTTATGATTACTTGTGACTTTACTCAAAACAAAGTGAAAGAGTTGTTGATACTATGCTCTCTGCAGGCCTCTGCCTCTAATTCCTCTGAGAACCATATAGATTTCAACTCTAAAAAGTCTGAGGTAATTAGTTTGTATATGAAATATGCAATACGTACGGCGTATGTTTAGTCTAAAAGCTTTCTGGTCCGTCCAATTTGTGTTTACTTTTCATGTTAAACTATATCTGCATACTTGAATCAGAAACATAATTATTTGAAAACCAAGAGCACTTTGAAAGGGAACACGTGTTTGCTGTGTTTTCTCCATTGGGCCTAATTCCCAAAATTGTTTTCTGTTTATCTCAATATCCCGTATAAGAGAATAAAGGACTCTTAGCCAGATTGTGTTTAATTGTTGTTTTTTTGTTCTGTATAGGGTTGACTTGTTATTAATCTGGCTCTAAATGCAGTCTGTGATGTTTATGTATGTGTTACTATGTCTTTGATCAGATGTGTGGGTTCTATGTTCTGTGTACATTGAATAAGCTGTATAGACCATGTATTTAAAGCTGACTAAAAAGCATATCCTAAGACATGAGAAAAACTCCTAGATATAACTCACTTACAACGTTCATTTACTTAATACAATTCTGAAAAGTTCACTAAGCCTGCAAAACCAGAGCCATATTTTGGTTAATCGGAATATTCTCAACATGTGCTGTATTTTACTACGCTTGCGCTTGCAACTAATTTGTACTCAAAATAATACTCTGTTGGTTTATTACAATGCTATGGTCAATGGTTTGGGTAAGTAAAATCAGTTAACCATACATGAATAACCTACGTAATGATGTAACACATGTTTGCACTCCTCTCAAATTATAATTTGCTTTAGTTACTTGCATGATGACACTGTGTGTTTAAAATTGCATGTACATGTGTGGTGTTTCAAATTGCATGTAGATGTGTGGTATTGCTTCTATACAATGTGCTTGATTTGTGTGATATTTGCTTCAATGGCATATGAGTAAATGTCTTTCAAGAATACGGAACATGTTTTTAATTTGTGATATTTTTTATATTCATTTTTAGATTATTTGTGCTGAACTTATTTAAATTATGTTTGCATTCTGTATTTTTCTCACAGTTTGAAAGAGAAGCAGCATCTGGAGGAGCTGATGTTGAATCTGCTGGTAGTGCCAGCACAAAGAAGAAAGGGAAGTGGCGTGCAAGTGCCTTAAAAATGTTTTCACGCATTTTTGTTCAAGCATTCACTCTTACATTTTTGGCTGAGTGGGGTGATCGAAGTCAACTAACAACAATTATTCTTGCTGCTAGAGAAGTAAATGAATTCATATTTTAATTCAAACTGTTTGTTTAAGCTCAATTTTTTCAACTACCTGCGTAATATTTTTAAGTGCATACTTCATTGCTTTTAATTTTTGCAGGATGTAGTTGGTGTAACAATTGGTGGCACTCTCGGCCATTGCTTATGTACCGGTTTAGCAGTGCTTGGTGGAAGGATGATTGCCCAAAGGATATCAGTTAGAACAGGTAAAATTTCTCTTGAGGTCTTTATCTCTTTTCAAACAAAATAAAGGCTCACTTTAATTTTCTTTTTCTTTTTTGTTGCAGTTACAATAATTGGTGGTATAGTGTTCCTCATCTTTGCAGTTTCTGCTTTATTCTTTGATCCTAATGCAGAATAGTCCAGACACCAAGTAGCTCAACAAAACAGTATTTTTGTAGATTTTTTTTCTCTAAAATAAGACCTCTTCTGTCTTGCTACTGGCTCTCATACTATTTCAAAACTCACAAAGGAAATTGAGGTTTACATGAGGGAGTGCACTGACTATGTTTCGTCAGGCGCGGATTGAGGTCCGACCGACAAGGTTGTCGGTTACCTACCACGGGAGAGGGGGGGAGGGGGGGCAATCGCCCCCCAGCCCCACCCCCACCCTTAATCCGCGCCTGTGTTCCGTTATTTAAATTTAAATTGTCTTTAGAGAGCCTAGTTTCCTCTGATCTAAAGAAGTGCTGTTTTTCTGTTGTTTTATAAATCTATCTAATATTGCTTGAGATTTGCAGCATTTTACTGTGGGTGGAAATCCGTTGTTCAATGAATGTTTATCTACCTTATGATTGAGATTTTGCCATTTGTAATTGTTTGCTTTATTTGTAAAATTAAGGCATTGAGACTATTTTGGGTTCTTTTTTTATATTTTGGTTTTTTGGAGAAGCCAACTTATATTGAAATCAGGTATTCTCTTTGGTGTCTTCAATGGGATCGGTTTTCAGTATCTTCTAAATTTATGTTATGTGAAAGATCCCAATTTCCCCTACAGTAGGTAGCTGTCAACAGTAGGTGACGTTTCATCTACTGCCTGTAGATGACGATTCATGTATACTGTCAACAGTAGGTGAAGTTTCATCGTACACATGTGATAATTTTAGAATATGCCTCTACGGTGCGGAAGTCTGAAAAATAAACACAACTTGATATCAATAGCAGTCTTGTAATTGTATGTTTTCAAGGGCGCATTTCTCTTAAATTTCAAAAAAAAAAAAATAACTAGAAAATGTCTTTGTCTACTTTTGATTGGGCTTATATTGTTAAAAAAGTTTTGGCTTTATTTATTGTGTGAGGCACATATTGTGATACATATTACATTATAAGTAGTGCATTTTAATATCAACACTTGCTGAACTGGAGAACTAGAGAGCACTAAAGTTTTTCTCATACTTACTCATATAAGTATACTGGCTGTGTGTTTTATGTTCTGCTCTGGCAAGTAATCAGTGTTAATAATACAAGTGTATAACCAATTATGATGATTACTTCTAGTTCTTATTTTAAAGTGTTTGGTAGATATTATTATTTACTGTAGCCTAAGACTCGACTGTAGCCAAACATATTGGGTGTTAATATTGGAATGCATACATACCCTCAAGAAGTGTTTTACTAAGAAAATCTGTTGAAGTGCTTTCCCTAGTGCTGTAATTTCTTGTGTTATGAGATCACGAACCTATGTTTGTCTGTAATTTATTGAGGGTTATTTGTGATGCTGAGAAGTAAAATAACCGTTTTTCATAAAAGTTTAAATCTGATCAAATGTTAACAGCTAGTTGTGTTTGTGTTTCTTTACATGGTTTGGAGTTATGAAGACAATTGTTTCTTGTCTTACCTGACCTGCAAATTAAGTAATTGAAATTTAGTGTCAACGAATATTTTACGTGATTATTATGTTAACTGAATTGTTAAATTTTTGTCACACTCCTTATTTACCTCTATGAGGTTGGGATACTGCCATGATATTTAGTTGTTTCCCTTTCACTAAGGATGAGGCTCTGTTGACTCTGTTCAAATTTGAATTATTTATTTATCTGAGACTCAGATTGTAAGATTGGTGAGAGTTAAGCTCAAAAAGTGAATTCCTTTGTCTTTAGTTCATTCCATATAGAGATGTAAAATCATAACCAATTGATGTTTTTAATTCAAAGTTTCATATGACAATGTGGTTTGTTGGCCGTACCCTGCTTGTCCCCTGAGACAGTAAGGCGATGCCTTTCGATTCCTCAAGAGCAGCTGATTCCGCCTGACCACGCCCGGAACATGTAATCAATAAGCTAAACTGTACAGTGCATTATATGTTTCCAAAGCATTCTAAAGACGATATTTTCTTTGTGGTTGGGCGGTTCACGACGTCGTTCCTTTTGCAGCTATTGGAATGTAGTGTATGCAGGCGTGGGGCCGGGTGGCCTACTCGCACGGGGCGACGGGGAGCTGCACGTAGGCCAGCCACGCGCCGTTACAGATGCCTGCTTGTTGTGAACCGCCCAACAACTGTTGTTGCCCGTGTTAAAAGCCAGCGACCTTCAGTTAATGTCGTTGATTTGCTTCTCTTCGGCCGAATAAAAGAGACTGTATTTTTGTACACGGCGCGCACTCATTCCTTCCGCCCGCTGCCCTTTTCTCCTCATTACGTGGCGCCCGGAATGGACATCAACACAACCAGGAGGTAGGAGGCTGGCCGGCAGCCCCCCTCCTCGTGTCATTTAGCACTCGGATGCGACCAGGTGACCCCCTGGGGTGCTCCGCGGGTGGCCCGCTGGCCGCGCTCCGCGCTGCAGTGCAGGGTGGCGTTGTGTGGCGTCAGGGCGCCTCCTAGGCCGTGCCGACAGCGCGTGCGTGTCCTGGCGTTCCCCTCGAGATCCACACGGCGCGGTCCGAGTGCAGCAGGTCGGCAGCTCACGGAGGTATGTATAGCGTGTGCCCCTGGGATCAAGACGGAATTTCTTTTGTAGCGTGAGACTTTCCGGGCGGTGGTATGGATGCGGCCGAGTTGCGTTGACCACGATGAGCTGTATCCCGGAGACATGCGCACGTCTCGCACACTATCCAAATAGTCAGCACGGAATGGTTATAAGTCGTTGATGGTTTGGTTGTTGTCATAGATCAAAAAAGAAATTGAAAATTAAGCCTAAAAAATACGTTTGATACATAAATACTACAGGTACGTCACTTATTGCCGACCTCATCGTGACCCTTTTATTCATCTATTTTTTAAAAATTATTTTTTGTTGTTATGGGGGAGTCTGTGTGTCACGGTCGAAAATCAACAGACGATTGTCAATGCCGTTTAGCGGGGACTTGGAGTGAGAAAGCGGATGGGCTACCTGTGGTGGTACAGTGCGCCCTGCCTGGCTCCGTGTCCGTCCCGTCCGTCCACTGCGGTGCTCCCCACCCCACCCCGCGCGGCGCCCGGCCCCTGCACTAATTGAAGTGCCAGGACCAATGCCGGGGCGACACTTAGCAGGGCACCAACGCTAAGAAAGAAAGTGCCATCGTAGCTGGCCCTCCTCCATCTGTCTTTGGAGAGGAGAGAGAGGACCTCTGTCGTTGCGCGGCGCGCACGGGGCGCTCGCCGCGACAGCGCGCTATTACCCCTCCCGACCCCACCCGACCCCACCCGACCCCCCGCTGCAGCGGGAATCACCCTCGAGGTGGGTGAGTGAATGGAGCCAGTGCGGCGCCCTTTCAATATAGTTGGGCCGCGAGGCTCGCGTTTGGCAGCACCCATGCACGCACGGTTCAACCTACTATACAGGGTGGTCCACAGACCCCTTCCTTTATTTTGCTTATACTGTACAGCATGCATACACGCGTGCGGGCGGGCTTGCCTACCGTCGCTCACCGTGGCGCCTTATGGCCCCGTGCGAGTATGCTAACCGGCCGCACGCGTGCATCCGGTACAGTATAAGCAAAATAAAGGAAGGGATCTGTGGACCACCCTGTATGTTATCGACTAAAAATCAACCAAACAAACCCAACGATGGTAATTGCTTTGCTCGGCTTTGCCTCCTCTTCCGCTTTGGAAAAATCATACAGTTATCGCAGGGTTCTTTCATTTTTTTTCCTGAGTATTTTCCGTGGGCCGTCACACTTGGCTGCGCGCGCCCTCGCGATCCACCGTCACGCAGAGTTAATGTTTGGGAATAAGCGCCGTGACCGATAAACTGATAAATGAGTGCGAGCGAGCAGCGGTAACGTAACGAGTTCTGGGGGATAGAGGGGGG